TCAAGAAAAGACGAAAACCACGATAATACAGAACCAGAAAGTAGAGTGCCAATAAACCTGACTTGTGATCCTGGAGTTGGATAGCTTTGCGGTTGAAGTTCAATTGCCAATTGTACTTGATTGATGAACCCTCGAAACTTTGATCTCGTACCATCAAATTTCTCGGGTAAGGCAATTCTTGGTTCTCTAGTGCTTACAGGGTGTTGTACAATTGGAGAAGGAACGTGATTTGTTGTAGATGTTGAAGCAGCTCCGATCATCTCTATATCTCCACTTTCTGCTATTCTTGTTCTTTCCTGTGTTGGTGAATTGAGTTGATGCATCGCAAGCATTAACTCCCTCATTTGCTCTTGCATTTGTGCCATTGCACTCTTCATTTCAACAAGCTCTGCCATAATGACACTAAGAAGAAAAATTTGTTTGATACTGTTCAAGACAAAAGAAAAGAAAGACTTGATAACAAAGAAGATACTAAGAACAATATCAGTTTAGAAGTGGCTAATCCGCAAACTTCTAATACGCATATGTCTTGTCAAGAGAAAGGGGTAATCCACTCTTACTCAAGAAAAACAAAGCTTTGATATTGTAAGTGTACTCTTGTCAATCTGTCAAGGACAAAGACTCGATGAGGGAAAATATACACAAAAAGGCTATCTCGATATAATAAATCAAAATATAAACAAGTATGTATATTAAAAGGAAACTGGAATGGCTATTGCCAGAAGACAAGAAACTAAAGACTCTTGAACTTGGACTAGGAGCAAGAAAGGAGTTGACAAGAGTGAAGAAGCCTTTACTCTTGTCTCTATATATACTATCTAACTAAGGGCTACGTGGCGACGTTCTATAGGACCTGCAATATGTGTTGACTTTGTAGGACACATGCCTTGACTTACAAGGCAAGTTTTTCTACGTGTGAGGTACATAGTTAGCTTGATCTTCAAGCTAACAACATGTGTGGCACATGGCCAACTTGTTGACCACGTTTCTAATCCAAAAAGTCAATTAAAGACACCTATGAAGTCAAAGTAGCATCTAGGAAGTTTCTAGGAAACTTCTATATTAAATATTATAGAATTAACTTACTTTTATCTACTTTTACTTACTTCTATCTATTTCTATATGTAATTATTAGCTTACATGATTATGGCCGTGACATAATGTGTATCGATATCATGGACTACCAGATGATATCATATTTGATCGAGGTACCCAATTCGTGTCAAAGTTTTGGAGATCTCTCTTTGGAATATTGAAGGTGGATATCAAACTTTCTTCAGCTTTTCATCCTCAAACTGATGGCCAAACGGAACGGGTGAACCAAGTCTTGGAGCAGTACTTACGATGCAGCATCAACTATCAGCAAGACGATTGGACTACATATCTACTGCTAGCCGAGTTTGCATATAACAAAACCCTTTATGCGTCGACTCAACAAACACCATTCTTTTCCAACTATGGGTATCAACCGAAGCTTGATTTATTGAGTTCGACAACAAATAACAATCCAGCAGCTGAAGGATTTGCGAAACAACTATTAGAGCTTCAAAATACATTGAAGCTTCAATTACAATCCGCTCAAGAATTCACAAGGCGTTTGCAGATAGATTTCGAAATCAAGCACCTACTTTCAAAATTGGAGATAAAGCATGGCTTCTTCGACAGAATATCAAGACCAAGCAACGATGTGATAAGTTGGACTATCGAAGATTGGGACCATTTATCATCTAGAAGCAAAACAATCCAGTGGCGTACCGTCTGGAATTATTGGCTTCTATGAAGGTACATCCAGGTTTTCATATTTCTCTGTTGGAGCCTTATCAAGAGTCGTCTTTTCTTGAAAGAGTGCAATGTCCGCCACCTAGTATTGAGATTGAGAACCACGATGAATATGAGGTTGAAAAGGTGTTGGATTCACGGCGAAGGTGGGATAAGTTGGAGTATCTTGTTCATTGGTGCCGCTACGACACTAATGAGCAAACGTGGGAGCCAGTTAAAAATCTCGCCAATGCGCCGCAAAAGGTACAAGAGTTTCATCAACAACATCCTCATAAACCTAAGCCGGTTTGATGATAGCTTCCTTCTGAAGCTTGCTCACCTAAGAATATAAGAAAGGGGTAGAGCACCACCAAAATTCGTAGTTGATGTAGTTATTTTTTCCAAGATAAAATAGATTTTTTTCAGTAGCCATAGTTTGGTCTTGTGATATGGATAGCTAAGAGATAGATACTATACCAGTCAGATTATCTCAACCGACTAGCTCACGAAGGCGACCTCAAGATGAAGAACCGCCTACACCACGATGACGACGGAGGATACCGAGTAACAGATCACTGGTGATTGTATTTGAGTCCGAGCCTGCTTATGATGGTGAGCCAAAAGGCATATTTACAGGACAATTTCACAATGAAGACACAGAAGTTCATGCTTGGTCAGAAAATGAAGGAGTAGGCCACTACCGTTGGCTTCAAGGACTGATGAACTACTTGCCTCGTGAACAACAGTTGGAGTTCATAGCAGACGTTATGCGATAGATCTTCATTTTCTTGCGTTGGTACTGATTAACAACAACATTGCTTCTCAGAGACTTCGAAGCTAAAGGAGGGGGTGATGTTAGGGACATAGTCTTTAGAACCTTCTAGAGACAAGTTTTTAGAACCTTCTAGAAGCAGGTCTCTGGAACCTTCTAGAAGCTTCTTACTTGGTAGAAGATGTTAGGGAAATAGTCCTTAGAACCTTCTAGAGATAAGTTTCTAGAACCTTCTAGAAGCAAGTCTCTAGAACCTTCTAGAAGCTTCCTAGTTGATAGAAGTTATTTGAGAAGCTTCCTAAATAGGAGTATATATTGGAATCGAGGCTGAAGAGTTCTTCAATCTCGACAACACATCTCTTGGAGCTCTAGCTCACCTCTCTCGTGTTATTCTTGTATTCATTTGATTAATCTAGTTCTTGCCAATTCTTCTTGAACTTCTTGTTAGATCTCGAGTCTGTATTTCTATATCCGTGACAATTACTTTATGGCAACCATTATGATTGAAACTTAATATTGTCATAGATTGCGATAAATTATTGCTTTAATAGATAAGCATCTTAGATATCTTATAATCCTTATCAGTTGTTATATGGATAAGAGCCAATTCTACCTAACTCAATATGTAAGAATCTAACTCCAATTCTGGACGTAGATGATCTTGATATTTAGGCTCAATATCTACATGACCAAGTAAAGTTCTTTCAATAAGCTCTACCTATGGCTATGGAGAACTTATGTATTGCTCAATATTACGATTTTTTATGATATGCTTGCATCTATAGTGGAACTTATTGACCTTCATTGTAAAAATTCTCTAAAAGAAATTATGTATATTTATAATGTAAAGTGCCTAGAATACTTGATATTAAGGCACGGTGCAAAATTCTATATATAAAGAATGTATTGCCTAGTAGTATTTTGTTGTTGGAAGACAAAGATGGATAAGAATATTGGAAGCATTTAAAGAATTGTGTTTCTTGTCATCTTTCTATTCATGACTTAATACATTCTAAATTGATAGTTGTGCCAATTGGTCTTCTTTGTTTTATATGCGGTAAAAAGAAAATGACTGCTACCATACTTTTGTATAATCATTGCCAACATGGGTGGCATATGGCATATTTGACATATCTTTTTTTTGACTCTCTCATCAAGAGATTGGATTTGTCCTTGTTGTAAGAAGTCTTCTAGCCGTGCCTCATCTCTTGATAAGGATTAAAGATTTCTTCTATTGTGTATGTCTTATATTTCAATAGTCTAATTGCTATAATACTAGTTTGAAGGAGTATAATTTGGTAGTAATATAATTGTGGTATTTATCTTCAATGATGTATGTTTTGTGGTCCTAATTGATTGGAGGGATTCTAATCAACTAGAAAGGGTACTTGAGAGTGTTTTAGGTGTGCACTTATATTTGATTTAAATTAGTTACTTTATAATTGGTTTATAGCACTTGATATATTGTATGTAATAATCTTTGTTTACATAACAAATATCACAAAATATGGCATCAAGAGCCAAATCCTATCAAATATATGTTGTATAATTTGGTTAGTAGTTCTTCATCCATTAATAGTTTTTTCATTAATTGATTTTATTTATGTCAATTAAGATTTGACTACATAAGTGGAAAAAAATTCTTGACTTAACATTCTTGTCAAATCAAGTCTTATGAGTAATTTTGAAAGTAAAAGAACTTGTTATAAGGGTTTGCTTAGATATGGTGTTTTAGCCATTTTAGTAAAGCTTTAGAGTTTCTCTTATTTCACACTTGCATTCTTGAATTTTCCTTTGTGGTGTGAGAGATAGCTTGACTTAATTTGGTATAGATTTCTAATCTTTCCTTGACAGTGTATTAGATGTGCATTTGTATTTGGTTTAAATTACATATTTTATGATTGATTTGTAGGACTCAATGTGTTGTGTATAATGATCTTTGTTTATACAACAACAAAGATTCTTATTAAATATAGGCTAAATTAGGTTCATTATATTTCTTTTTTTATTAATTTATATAGATATAGTTTAAAACCTAAAAATTCTAAAAGTAAAAATTACTTATATATATATATATATATATATATATATCTCTCTACAGCCACTTAATGTGTTTTTGCTATATGTTAAACTGTTAGCATAATTTTAAAGTTACTCTATTTATGAATATTTAAGACTATCACATTCATCAATCCTTCAAATTATTTCAAATCAAGCTATTGCTTTAATATCTAGTGATGAGCAATACATTTTTGAAAATGGAAAAAATGAGAACTTATTTTTGAGTCTACGTAGAATTCATCTAGCGGTTGAAAGTTTTTTCTATGTCTGACCGCACTTGACTGCCCAGCCCGCAACTTGCAGGGACCACAGCCACAGATCCACTGAAGGGCAGCATCACCAAAATACAAAGGGCGTACGAAGTATATATGATACACCATATATGAATACCAATCAGCTACCAATTGGATTGATCCCGTTTCTCACAATTAATCATGCACTAATCAGATGCTTAGCGGAGACTAGACGGGGTAGATTAGAAAGCTGACGGTGATGGCCATTGCCTTTGTCTGCTCAGCTCCGCCTTGCTCTCGCACTTCCTCGCAAGCCTTGCTGTCCGCTGTTTGCATAATGCATTGAAGCTTTGTAACTCGTAACTCGGAACTGGCCTTGGACTAACCTCTCGCATCGCAACCCTACGCGCACGGCACTCCTTGTCGATGCCGCTAATCGGTAATCGGGAGGCGCGATCGGAGACGATTACTCGCGGGAGGGGAGTTTGTGTGAAGTGGTAGAGATTGTTGGGAGCTTGGAGCTGCGGTGAGGAGGAGCAGGAACAGGGGAGACGAGGGATTTGCGAGGAGGGGGGGACAAGGAGGGAGGGAGGAGATGAGAGATGAGACCTTGGAGAGGATTTGATGCGGTGGATGGAGAGGGTGAAGCTGGTGATGGCGATTTGAGGGTTGCGCGAGGGTGGAGGTGATTGGGGTTGAGCGGTGTAAGAGTGTTTATCCGGAGCCGGGAAGCAGAGTAAGAGGGAGTGTAGGGATTAGGAGGGGGAGCTATGGCGTGGCTGGGTAATTTCACGGTGAGCGACTTTGCAGGCGCGGTTACGAAGCTGAGCGAGAGTGTGAAGAACATTGAGAAGAATTTCGATTCGGCTCTGGGGTTTGAGAGTGTGGAGGGCAGTGGTCGCGATGGTACGTGTCGCGGATTCCTGTTTTCTTATACGTAATAAAGGGTTGTTTGTCTGGGGCGTGGTTTCTGGTAGGGTGTGATGCTGGGGACCATTGAGAGCTGAAGCTTGATGAGCAGATTTGGGATTTTGAGTCCAGATCTACGTGTTTGTTTGGTTGTGTTAATGGTGGGATTTAGGGTATTGTAGTTGTGATAGGATGAGATTTCAAGTGAGCTGACGCATTGTGAATACATTGCATTATTTCTTTGTGGAAAAGCTCAACCGGCGGGAGAAAGGGCTGCTAGTGTGTTCCAGTCGTTTATTCCCCCTTCGATTTTGTCCAAGACGTCTGAGACAATTCTTGGAACATCGGCAGCGTCTGAGAGTACGCCCTCGCATTTTGACAGCGGTTTGAAGCCAGAATTGTCGCGCCAATCTAGTAAAGTCGTCACAACCGAGTTACTTGAAAACAAGGATAAAGGTGGCAGTTCTGTGGAAGCTGGTGTTCGTGCGACGGAGGTTGGGTCGTTGGATGCTTGGCCTCACGTGGTCGAAACACAATCTTCGACTCTGCCGGACTCGTCAACAGAAGCTGGCATTTCTGGAAAGGAAGCGTTGATTTCCAGCGTGAGGGAAAATAGACCAGGTAGTGACGACGAAGTTGAACACTCTGTAACAGATGGCATTGTCCATAAGGAGGAATCATCGAATACTGAGGCCGAGGAAAAGTCGTCTGAACAACGGACAGAAGTATCGGAGATTGTAGTGGAAAAAGCCGAGGATCTTGGCAATGGTGTTAGTGAGGTACACGTATTTGACAATGATGTGCAAGTACCGTCAAAGGATCAGTCAAGTTCTGCTTTGGTTGCTCCTCCCTCCTCTGAAACTGTTGAAACGAGCAGCGGAACGCATGCAGCAGAAATGGATTCGTTACGATCTAAGGATATCGTCGAGAATCCTAGTCCCATTGTCGATACATCTATGCAGGGAGATGATAAGGCGCAAAAGGAGTTGAAAATGATGGAAGCTGCTCTTTTAGGTGCAGCGAGACAAGCTCAGGTACCTTATCGTCCAACTCTAGAGAATAGAAATTGCTTTTGGTGTTAAGATTATTTTGTAAGCTTTTAGAATCTTACTCAAGTAGTAGCTGGATTATGGAGCCCGATTAGTGTTATAGGATCAATATGGTTCAAGGATGTCGGTTTTGGTATTTCGCTGCGGAGTGCAGCAAAATCTCTTTCAGAATTTTAGGTCGAATATGCTTCTTCTAATGTTTGGAACGTAACGATGTCATGACCTACCAAGTGTTCAATTTTTGGCAGTCAAAAGCGGACGAGATTTCAAGGCTTATGGTAGAGAATGAAGAACTGAAATCTTCGCTTGAGGAGCTCAAGGTAACTGCTGATTTAGGATCTTTCGAGTTGTGAGTTAACAATGCACGGACACTTAAGACCAACCCTTTTTATGAAAAAAAGGCTCGTTTGCACTAGATCTTAATCAACTGCTTGAAATAGTTTGGAAGCTTTAATTCGCACTTGTGTCACTAGATGGAAGTGAGCAGCATCTTCATTAGCGTTAGCGGTGTTTTCTAACGAGTTTAATATCCGAAAATAAGTGGGAGGCAAATGATTGCAACATTCACTTAGTTGAGTCATCTCTAATTGCACCAACTCTTTAGTTGCATTTTGCCTAGGTGCAATGTTTTGGCACATTTGTGGGTGTAGCTAAATGGTGAATTGCTCGCTGACAGTTTTTAAACTGTGTGCTCAAATTGCTGTATGGTGCCATCTTTCTATATCTTATTGGATTTTGCAAGTGGGAGGAAGTTTTAAGACACAGGAATGTATTTTTTCTTGGTTTTTTTGGATGTATCAGGACTTTCATTGAGCGGTAAAACTTTTCATACAGATAAGCATTGCTTTCACTTTCTTTTTGGTATGAGTTATAAGGAATTAATGGAGGAGGTTTGTGTGGGTTTGTGTTTGCAAATGAAACAGAAGAAGTCAAATGAAGCAGATTTAGATGTATTGCGAGAAGAGTATCAACAGCGAATAAGTTCTGCAGAACGCAAGGTAAGTTAGAACCTTCACTAGCACAGTTGCCTCAAATATCAGAACGCAGGAATGCTGAAATGTATTGATCTATTATTCTTTTTACAGATGGTTTGTGAAATGCCCAGTGTGATAAGTCTTTTGTTTGGAGGTTTAACTTAACAGTTTAGTTTCTTGTTGAGAACAAAGTATTCAATTGGGTTCTTCAAGACAGGAGGGACTGTTAGTACAATGTAGACATGCTATAGGTACTGGTCTCTGTTATCTTCATAAGAAGTGGCCATAGAAATATGTGGCTAATTGATCAGTCTGACAGGACCTAAACTTATAGACCAGTGCACCAATCTGGAGTTACCTTAGTCATTTGACCACTGTTTCTTTTAACTTGCTAAGTTTCATGTGATTCTCATTTCCTGGCGTGTGGCATCGGAAGCAACTCTATTTTCTTTTTGCTTACGAATGCTGGGCCTCTTGAACGTGAAGAAATTGCTCATTTTTATGGTTGCTTTGCAGGTGTATGCACTGACAAAGGAAAGAGATATGCTGCGGAGGGAGCAGAACCGGAAAAGCGATTCCTCAATGTTGTTAAAAGAAAAAGACGAAATTATTAAGGCAGTCATGGCTGAAGGTTATTCTATCATAACATATCTCTTTGCACTCTAGTAACGATTCTCTTAAATACGTACACAGTTACGATCTGTTAACTCTTGTGATCCTGATGTTTGTGCTTATGCCGTCTGCTCTGTACAGGTGAAGAGTTGTCCAAAAAGCAGGCAGCAATAGAAGGGACAGTAAAGAAGCTCCGTGCTCAGGTTCGGGAGCTGGAGGAGGAGAAGAATCGGTTATCCTCTAAACTTCAGGTAAGTTTCAACAAAGAAAAACATTTTTTTCTTTCACCGTTCTGTGCCCCATAATTTTGCTCATAGAATTATGCTTGTTTTTTTTCCGAGTTAAAGCAATTGCGTTGTTTATGGACATTTGCTGTTGGAATGTTGGGTCGTGGTTTCAAAGCTTGAATTCAGTTACATGCTTATTTCATATTCAATCATGTTGCAATCAAGTTTGACCTCTGGAATATATAATTTTACAAATTGTTGAGGTGCTTTAGAATGACCAGGAGCTATATTTGGTTGGTGTTTGATGCAATTCTGAACAATTCCAGAACTTATAACAATCGCAATTGAATCTATTTTCGTAGGTAGAGGAGGCGAAGGTGGAGAGCATGAGGAAGGACAAGGCAGCCACTGAGAAAGCCCTGCAAGATGCTGTGGAAAAGGGCCAGACTGAGCTGGCTGCCCAGAAGGAGTTTTATACCACTGCTCTTAATGAAGCTAGGGAAGCTGCAGCATTAGCCGAGGCTCGAGTTGATTATGAAGCCCGAGCAGATCTAGATAGGCGGTTGAAAGAAGCTAGTGAGCGAGAAGCAACCCTTGTGCAGAACATTGATGAGCTTCGTCAGGCTCTAACACGCACTGAGCAACAGGTTCAATTCTTGTCTTATAGCATTATCTATGTTATTATAGTTTTGCTTGCGTGTGGCTCGTATTTTTTGAGTAGTGCTTACAATCGAGTTTTTCTGGGAATTCTTATATTTCATCTTATAATGAGAAAGCCATTATTCTTTAAGACCAGGAGAAAAAATGCACCACATGTGGTTACCATCTGCAAAGCAACTCGGTAGTCATACATCGTTACGTCCCAAACGGTATTATGGTAGATTATTGAATTCAATGATTTTTATGTACCATGAAGAGTAGCTTCCTTCAGTTTCAGCCGTCACCAAGGGTGATGTTTAATTTTGTTGGTATTTACCGAATTATTATTCGATTTTAATTGTTGATATTTTACACAACAGGCTGCATTCCGAGAGGACACATTTCGAAATGATATTGAGGATCTTGAGAAGCGTTGTCAGGTGACTTGAATCCCCAAACTATTTTTGGACTGTGTCAAGTATCCCTGTGTCTTGGAAGTTCTATAATGCCTTCTTTAGTAGCTACGCCTGGTTCATGGTAGAATGTTTTCTTGTAATTGGTACCGATTTGCTTCCTTTCTATTTCTATTTTTGTTTTTTTCTACAGTGATTACTGCTGGCTGGATATTAAATTTCAAGGTTAATGTAGGCTGCTGAGGCACGATATGAAGATCTCAGTTCGCGCATGCCAGAATCCACCCGACCTCTTCTCAGACATATTGAAGCACTGCAGGTATGTGTTTATACCTTTTCTTGAGAGGAACTTGTAGATAAAGAAATCAGCCCTTGGTCCTTGATTATGCTGGACCAAGTAGCCACCTATTTCTGTCTTATACATGGACAATGGGGAGTCTTGCATGTTTAGAAGGCTGAAAATTGTAAGTTGTTAGGATTGCAAGCATGTATTATGCAAGCAATTGTAGCAGGCGTCTGGCCTATACCTCCAAGTTGTACTTGTTTAATAGGTGTTTACGCTGACGAATCGTTATGTGGAACACGAAATGCATACAGGAATCAATGACAATGCGCACAGAGACATGGAATGGTGTGGAACGGTCATTGAATTCCCGCCTTCAGGCAAGCCAACTCTTCTACACGTTTTTAATGCTACCCATCATTTACTAGTGAAGATTTTTGGTCAAGTTTCCTTGTCTTCAACTGTACTGAAATTATCATGCGTACACTCTCTCGCTGGTGGATCTGTGATGTGTATTAAGTGCCTTCATATTCACTGGAAATTTCGAATTTTGATGGAATTGCAGCAAGCAGAAGCCAAAGCTGCAGCAGCCCAGGAGAAGGAGAGAGTGACTAATGAGCGTCTCAATCAAACCTTATCACGAATGGCTGTAATGGAAGCTCAGGTTTATGTTGCTCTCTGGAAATAATGGCAACCGTTCGCTTTTCTCCGTTTTTTGGTTTTTTGTTTTTGTTATCCTCGTATGTTTGCTCTTCACTTCGTGACTCTGCAACCTTTCTTCAATGTGGCATGTTTTCAGAAAAGTCTTATACATTGAGAGTTGGGAGATTTGTAGCTCCTTGGTCTGAATAGTGTCCTCTTGTTGGTTCTTTAGGTGAGTCATTGCAGTCTGTCTGGAAAATAAAATTAGGAATTAATTTTCTCCATTTCAGTTGGAACTTAACGTTTTTGTGGGCATAACGCAGGTAAGCTGTGTGAGAGCAGAACAAGCGCAGCTTCAACGCACTTTGGAGAAAGAGAGGCAACGGGCATCTGAAAATCGTCAAGAATATCTGGCTGCCACAGAGGCTGCTGCCACTCATGAAGGCCGTGCTCGTCAGCTTGAGGAAGAACTCAAAGCAATTCGCAAGCAATATAAGACTGAGCTCAATGAAGAGAAAGCTCGTAGGGAGGCTCTTGAACAGGTATTACTGATGTGCTGCTCGATATAGAGTTAATCTTGTGGTTAGTCATAAATTTCTTGCACGTCTTTGCCGCACGCACGCACTTTGCACTAATACATTAAAATGTTCAATTCTTGTTCTTGTGCTTGGACGTGGTATCCACTGCAGTTGACATAGTGCTTTTAATCGAGTTTTTACAGGTTATTGCTAATCTTTCATTTTGCGAATAGGTAGAGTCCAGAGCTACGGGCTCTTATAAAATGAATCGTTTTTGTATTATTATTTTTTCAGGAAATAGAGCAAGAGCGAGCAGCACTGGCAGAATACGAGAAACGCATTAGAGCGGAGGGTCGAGCAGCTGCAGAGAAAGCTGTTGCAGCCGCTCAACCCAACGATCCTGGTGTGTTCCTTACTCTTTTCTTCTTCATTATGTTATTACCAAGCTTGTGCTTAAGGTGCCCCAGCCGTGAGGAATTATCTCCAGAAAAAGATCAGGCATGATGTTAAAGTTTGCCTTCCATGTGTACATTTTGTATTTAAAGTAGTTAATTAATTAATTGTTTGATTATTATTCATCGAAAGATTCTCATCAAGGACTGCTTGTGCTGAAAGCTTTGAATTTTCATTGCTTTCATTTAGTTTAAAATAGTTTACTAATCACTTAGTAACGGAATCGGCCTTTCAGGAAAGGGTTTAAAACGGTGGCCCAGCATGAGTAGTCAGGGAAGCATGGAGGAGAGTCTTCTATTACAGACCTCATTCGACACACCTCAAGACAAGTATATTGGGCATAGTGATAGACATAGTGGCAGATTCAGTTTTAGTGATCGTCCTCCCTCCCCAGCAATTCAATTTGGGAAGTTCACGTACGAACAGCTTGAAAGTCATCTACGTCAGAAAGAAGGAGAAGTGGCCTCTTATGCTTCTCGATTGGTATGCCCATACATCAATGTTTTTGGTTAGATACATCCGAGTTTAATCAGATATGCTAATTGCAGTGCATTCTTTTTTGTTCTAGTGAACTAATCTTGTCGTTATTTTTGTTCTCGTTCTTGAATTGATAGCAATCAATTGAACTTTGGATCATCCTGTGTCGTATTTTGGATTAACAGGCTGCTCTGGAGTTGACTCGGGACTCGTTAGCTGAAGAGTTAGTTCATGCGACTACTCAGGTGCTGCCATGTTTCGTAATCATTGTGTTTGTCATGTTTATTCTCTGCTGCTCTGTTTCTCAGTGCATTTCCATATATCCATAATGTGATTTGCTAGCACAGTCGATGTGACAAGGTTTCACTTTGTTGATGGTGGTGGCACATAATCTCTCATTATTTTTCTTTACTTTTCATGTCGGTCTGTGATGATTACTGATGGTTTTCTCCTAAGGATAGGTCTATCCTCTAAACAGAGAATGTATTAAAGCTTAGGATGTAAGGAATCTGTGAGCTGCCATACAGTCAATTTGTAATTCATTGGTTAGTTCTCAGATATTCTACATAACACGAACATTCAAAGTTCCTGCCACAAAGTGGCGCCCTGAAATTAAGCTCACTAAGTAAACTCTTTCTGAGATTGTGACTGAAGTGTAAGAGTATGTGTGCATATCTTATTATTAGTTCCCTGTCTTATAAACCTTTGTTTCTTAATTTGTGCATTGTAGTACACCAAACCTGTGAGGTATAATTGCTGTGTGACCTGACCTTCTCTTATGTGGGTTTGACAGTGTGAGCAATTGAGAGCTGAGGCCAGTTTGTTGCCTGGTATGCGGGCTGAGCTAGAGTCTTTGCGCCGCAGGCACACATCAGCCTTGGAGCTCATGGGAGAGCGTGATGAAGAGGTTACTTTTAGATTATTCTTCAAACTTTCTTTCCTTCACCGCTTTGCTCCTCTTTACTTTTATGGCTCAGGATTTTGACAGTAGCTAAATAATCTTCATTTAGAAAGAATAAAAGTATCATTGGAAGCGCTTAAACTGCATTTTATGTCTTACGGATACAATTCATCTTGTATTTGTTGCAGGTGGAGGAGCTCAGAGCTGATTTGGTAGATGTTAAACACATGTATCGAGAACAGATTGATATGTTGGTGGGACAGGTAAATTTTCCGAGTTGATCCAAAATTGCCGCAGTTTTGTGATGCCCTTGATTCTGCAACTACTCATGTAGATAAGACTATTTTTTCACTGATTTGGATTCTGATGTCTAGATTTTAGCGATTTTGCTTCAGCATCTACTTTCACATTCTGATAAGTATGGTATCGATAGATTATTTTGCACTTAGTTATGTAAGAAACATAAATCTCTTGCTGCTCTGAACAGAAGTAAATCTGTGTTGGCATGCAGATTGAAAGGCTCAGTGCAGCTATGGGGCGTAAGTAACTTCATTTATCCCATATATATATATATATATGCCTGCAGATTCTGACCTATGTTGCTGCATTAACGTTGATAGTATCTCTAAGCGATTGCCAGTACATCCGTACTTCAATCCAAATCTCACGTCATTAAACTTGTACTCAAGGCTGTGATCTGCCTTAGCTCAAGTGGCAATACTGTTTTAAGATACAGGAATTGGTCCCTATGCACAGGAATTGGTCCCATATTATGACCGGCAGTAGGTTGGCGTAGCCTAAATTCCACCTCAGCAATTGTTTACAATGTAGTGCCCTGGTTAAAGCTGTAGTGCTTTTAGCTGTAAGGTAATTTAAACTCTGATTCTTTTAGAATTGCGCTATCGCCATTCGTGATGCATAACTTGTATTTCGTGTTAAAGCAAATGATCCTTGCGTTGGTGTCTAGCTGACTCAGAATGTGGATGGAAGCAAGTGAACTATTTTAGGCTTTTGGTATCACTTGTTTACCCAAGAAGGTGATGAGGTCTTGGAATATGAGACTTGTGGTCGAGAGTCTTTATGTTTCATGAATGGCTGTCAAATGATCCGTTAATCACCTTCGATGAATCGTCTTGCATGAGTTAAGCCTCTGCGTTCTCATTGGTTAGAGCTCCTGGTCATTGGAGAGTTCACAGATGATTTGGATTGGGAAACTGTCTGGTTCATTTTTTTTAGATGACAAAGTGCACTTTCAGAGTTTACTAGGATAGACTTTTGCAATCTATTTTGTATCTTATTGAGGTTTATTATTATCTGGCAGCTCTAATAAGTTGCCAGTGCGGATGTTTCAACCAGTTAAAAGCGAGAGGCTGATTTCACATTCTGTGAAAAAGCATAGTAAAGCGTTACTGTTAGGGTGAAGGAAAAGTGTTTGTGACTTTGGATGATGGTATTAGCTCCTGACCATGGCAGATCTACGTCCCCCCAAACTGTCTCTTTATCAGCTTCATCCGTCCAGTCGGGTATTACGTAATCACTTGCATTGTAGCGAAATGAGCACTCAGAGCGGAGGTTAATTCCACCCCAGCAGCCAGATTCTTCACAGCACAATTCATAAATGCTTCTGATTATAGCGTTTAGACAACTCTGCACGCACCACAAGACAAATCAACTCTAGCTGCTATGAAATGTGGCGAAGAATTTGATTTTCTTCTGGCTCAGCTACCAAAACCCACTGAAATGAGGCACATGCTGTTACATTTGACTACTTTCTCTAAGGAATTTCACTTTGGCATTTCACACAGATGAGTTGAAATGAGGGGGTCAACTTACTGCTGTTCAGAGCAGATTTCTGGGTGCTCCTGGTGAAAACTATACCTGGCCAGGTCCAGTTCTCAACAAAGACGCCCAAAAATCTTTTCAGAACGGTGGTAGCACCGAACACATTCTACTGACTTCACTTTCAACTCATTTGCCACCATATAAACCTCAGCAAACTGCATTTACAAATTGAATTCTGAAGGTAAAGTCAAACTCACCTCGCACATTTTTTGCGTATCGTTCAGGGTGCACCATGCCCACATGGTAATTTTCCGATTTGTGTCTTTGCTCACCATGGTGTAGCTTAGTTGTTTATCTGGTGCGTCGAAAGTAGTTGTTCTCACCACCAGAGACGTTTTCTGGAATGTTCTCAAGAAATCGAAGTTGAATTCTTTGATGACATTTGGCATGCTGCAGTTGTACTCCGCTCTAACGAGGGACAGCAAGCAAGCCCACACCAGGATCACATTCCACATTGACACTTGCTTACAATGGCAGCCACTCAAACCCTTTTGCTTCTCCATGCAAATCTGGTCCTCAGATGATTCCTAGCAACTAGATTCCTAAACAGAAGAGATTGAACGCAGAGTACTAGCCATCAATACACGTTCTTCGCAAGCGTCATTAAGAGAGCTTTTGGGCAGTGGCCCGTCGACAATCGAACGTGATCGTCTGCTTGGTCGATAAACAAGATTCTGCCGAGAGAGTGGATGCATTCCAAAACAGGCATGGCTGCTAAACTGCAGATTAGGGTTTCTCAAGCCGGACATCAAATTACGGCAACAAGGGGACCCACAAAGGCCTGCATGTGTGATAGAGTTGATGCGACGTATATCGCTTGCTTCGAAGATTGCATCGACTTGCGAAGCCCTGCAACGAGAAATTTAGCTGCCTGTCGGGTTGAAATTTAGCTGCCTGCCGATGGTGGTCGTCGTCTCCGCCGCGAGAGGGAGTTGTAACCGTAACAATGGCCCTTCCACATCACTTCCACATCACAACAGGAGGCAATATCAGAACTACTTCTGGTAACGATGACGTGAGCTCCCTGATAGAACTTACTTTTCACGTGGGAGTGTCAGGAGTCCTTCAGATAACGGTGGTTATTTTATTTTATTTATATTTTGAATAGTTTTTATGAATAAAACGAGTCAGAGTAGAATTGATAATGTAGACTGGAGTAAGCCTGTGGAAATATTACAACACATGGTTGGGTATATTAAATCTGTTTCTAGTCACAGAAAAAGAATGTTTTCACAATGGTTTAAAGATTGAAAATCTAGACTTATGTATTCAATAATGGATAATTTGTTTGACTTAGATAAGACATATACATATATATATATATAGATACATAGAGGGTATTACTAATAGCGCCATAGTTTGTGCTATTGCCACCACAACTTACCACACATTCAACATATTTTTTGAGTATTTTTTTTATTCCAATAAAAAAATATTGTTAGTCTTTCTAATATATGCATTGTTTTGGTAGCAATAAAAACAATTGTGGTGGCATTAGCATCTCTTTTTCTCTCTCTCTTTCTCTAACTATATATATATATATATATATATATATATATATATTAAATAAAAATTATAGTGATGTATTTAAATTTACTGAGCGGTGATTGGACTTGTTAAAAAAATTTGAATAAGAAAAAAAATATTTTTAAAATTATAATTGAATTTATTTTTAAAAAAATTGTAAAACATTACTCAAGTTATTTTTTATATTATACAACCTTTTTTTTGGGTGAAATAACTAAATATATGCCAAAATTACTAAAAACATATACCTTTTCACATTGTAAAAAAATATGTTCTTCTTCTCTAGTTACTTGATTAGTGAAACCTTCTTATTGGTCAAGATAAAAATGTGTTCTTATTAGCCAAAAAAAATTTTTGCCTTTTTGTAAATTTAAAATTAATGTTGCTCTTTCACAATGTAAAAATGCATATTGTCCTTTTATACATGTTTTTCTTTCTTATTATTTGTTACCATTTTGCACATGTTTCCCTTTCTTATTATTTGTTGTTCTTTTGCATATGTTGTACTTTCTTACTGTATGTTGCCTTATTTTGTGTCAAATTATTTTTCACAATGTTGTCCTTGCACCATTTAAAAACAATTTTTTCTCTTTCACAATATAAAAAATTATATAGCCCTGTCACATATGTTGCCTTATTTTGTGTCAAGGATAGTTTTTTATGCCCAAGGATATGGAGTTTTTGCAAGTACATGTATACATATATATATATATATATATATATATATCTTTTAAAATTTCTATTTACATTTGATTCCTAAAAGGTTAAAAAATTAGTAATAATTTTTTGACTTTTTAATAATTATTATTATATTTTTAAAAATTGCAAAAGTATGTGTAGACTATTTCTAGTTAGAATCTAATTCCTTATCCACAACTTATAAAAGAATATATATTTTCTTAAACACTAAATAAGAAATTAAAAAACAAGAAAAAAAAAGACCATCTAAACATAGTAGAAGCTTGCTCACAGGGAAAAATCTTTTTAACAAATGAAATTTAAATTATAAGTGGTTGAAGATTTGTGTATACAAATTATATTAAAAGTTTTAATAAGTAATAAACAAAGCATAAATTTTAAATTCTTGTATTAGATTATAGAATATTAAAGAAGATACTATGAAGAGATATATGCTTTATTTAATTCAACTACAAGTCTAATGTTATTTATTTTAAGTAGAAATATAGTAATATTTAATTAAAATAAAATTAAAGACATTAAAGTAGGTATAGAGTATTAGCAAGGATAAGAGTTTTTATTTTATCAATAAATATTTTTTATTTTTATTCATTTTATCTATATCACAGACATACTGATATATTATAATATTTTCCAAGTTCAATCTATGATTTTTTGAAGTAATAATTAAAAATTAGTTTTTTAAAAAAAATTAATAATTTTTTTGGAGTATATTTATATATACATACGTGTATGTATTTTATGTACAAAATATTGCTAATATCACCACAACTTGCAATCCACTTGACATATTTCTTAAGATTTTTTAATCTCAATATTTTTTAAAATTAATATTTCTAATATATATATATATATATATATATATATATATATACTCATATTTATTTAAAAATTAAATATGATTTTAACATAAAATAAATGAAAATTTAATAAGAATAAGTTATAGTAGCAGTAGAAAAATCTATGGTGGTATTAGCAACACCTTTTATGTGTGTATATATATATATATATATATATATACACAAAAAAAAACTTGCTATGCCTAATATCATACTTAGTATATCCTTAAATATAATCTATAAGATTGTTTACTAAAAGTAATAATGTTAACCATCACACACATATATATTTAGATACAATCTATTATCTACTTCTGTTGCTTTTTTATGAATAAAGTTTTGGTTTCAATAAAACCTACTTTGAATGATAACATGTTAAACTTTATAAAAATAGGATTTAAAAGATGTGGTTGAAAAAAATCACTTGAGAATTTATATTTTTAATTTTAAAATTAGTAATTATTATAGATGTGAAAGAACCAATAGGATTTCGTTTAAAATTATAATTAATCTTAACTTATTTATATTAAGACTATTCTAAGAAGATTTGATTTGACATAAGTGATGAATGTTAAATATCTAAGTTCTTTACATTAGAAAACATAGTATTAATTTTTAGAAGGAATTATAGCTTGGAGAGAATAGACTTTGTTACATTTCTTAGTATTGCATAATAGATACAAAAATAAAACAAAATAAATAAATAAAAGAAATCTCTCCTTCGACAGCTACGCCGATGTTATGTTGATGGTCTGTTCTGCATGAGACTGACTTGATGTGGCGTTCATGAAATATACGTGAACCAGCCTAGAATGCGACTTGAACGAAAAAGCTTTATTGATTATATTGCCAGTAAGCGGGAAAGAGACAGACCAAGTATAAGAGGCCACCTTGTGTGTTGTTAACTTACGTCTGAACAGGTATTACTCTGCAAACCTTTCTCTTAAGTGCCTCGTTCGCACTCAGAGTCATTACCTTCCATCTTTTTAAAAGAAAGTGAAGGCGTGCGTCCGCTTCGATTCGTCTGCTCGCAGCTTGTTCGGTTGGGATTTAGTTTTCCATGCATTTATTTAAAGAAGTGTGGATAGAATGAGGGAGCAGTCCGGACGTCTTGGTCTGTGAATATCAGCGAAGGCGTGCGCGTTCATCGCACTTGTCTCGGCTGCTGTACATCGTTGCATTGCTCTGCCAATTCCCGATCAGGGTCGCGGTCGCAGCATTGGTGAACACGGTATGTTCCTTCTTGTTGTGGATTGCACGTATTGTTCAATGGTTAGTGTGAATCATTCTCCAATCGGTAGATCAGGAGCAGCTGGTTCATGCGTTCGACTAACTAATCCATTTCATCGTGTCGCATGCACTTGAGTCTTAATTTGGAGAAATACTTCGTCATAATGTATCAATAACTAGAGTGTTGCCCGTAAACTGAAGCGTAAGCTTGTGTACAGCATCTGCGTAGATGGATCTCTTAACAGACCTGTTGCATGCATCCGGTTCCTCACGGTATTGTGTGGAGGCATATCCAAGACAGAGAGAAAGTGTGGCAGTTTGATGCAGCGTAATTCCGTTTCAATCCCTAGTCAGTGCTCCAGCAACAGGGTTTTAGGGAGATTGTGGTTTTCAGGTCACCCGGTTCAGCGCCGATGTGGAAATCTTATTCTTCAATTGGTGTTATTTCTCTACTGCAGGAAATTCCTGCATGAGAGCTGATTCTTTCGAATATGGATTGAAGAACATGCCCATGTTCAAGTTGAACACGGGTGGTTCCATCCCCGCTATTGGACTTGGAACCTGGCAGTCGGAGCCAGGCCTGGTTGGACAGGCAGTCAAGGAGGCTATAAAGGTGTGGTCTCGCAACCTGCTTGTAGCAGTGACGCTGTTTCGTAGCAATCACATTTAAATCGCTTGCTGCAGTCTTCGATTTTCTCATTTCTGTACACTACCGCCACGCACTAAGAGAAGGGAGGTTCGACAGATGTTTGATGGACGGATTTGCGAGGATTTCATGGTGTATTTCACACATTTCCTGAACAAGCTCTTCGCCAGCTGATGCTACACCTCTCGTGTAACCGTCCAGGTTGGATATCGTCACATCGACTGCGCCAAGGCTTACAACAATGAGAAGGAGGTAAGTCTCCAGTGACCGCAGAAGCATATATTATATCAAGGTTTCATGTCGTGGACGGACAGCAGTGTCAAGCTGTCGCACGGTGGTTAGCAGATTGTGTGCTGTTATTGAGCAGAACCATTGCGACTGAACGTTCTATGGAGGTTCTGTGATGTAGATTGGCGATGCCCTACAAGGAAGGCATTTTGAAGCGCGAAGACTTATTTATTACGTCAAAGCTTTGGTAGTGATTCTTGGCCCATTCAAAGATCACTCGTGTCCGCTCGTGTCTTAACGTGGAGTCTCACTTGCCTTGTTTTCAGCAACCAGAGGGAATTTGCATAGATGAACACAGAAACAAACTGGACGCTAGAAGGTTGTATTTTCCCAGATTGCAACATTGATTTGAAATGACCTTTATTGACTTGAGCCGTGTCAGGTGCTCGGATCACAATCCTACCGACGTCATCAAAGCCTTGGATAGATCAATCGAGCGTTTACAATGCGATTACATTGATTTGTATCTGGTATTTAATCGTCCACAGATTCTATATGCTAAATTGAAGACAATCCAGTTCATCTCCATGATGCCATGTGTCCCAAAATTGTCAAATGCTATATCTACACAAAATCCGTGTTTGAACGATCAAGTGAAGCCCCTTCAGGAATAAGTAATCTGATTCCAGAGGTGTTTTTTTTGTCTCGCATCAGATTCACTGGCTGGTGGCGTTCAAGAAGGACGCGCTCGGTTTTGCCCCTGAGAATTTCGCACCCCTCGATATCAAAGCGACATGGGCAGCCATGGAGCAGTGCTACGAAAGTGGGAAAGCTCGAGCTATTGGAATCAGCAATTTCTCTGTCGAGAAGACAAAGGATCTGCTGTCTCATTGTAAAGTAAGGCCTGCAGTCAACCAGGTGGAATGCCATCCTCACTGGCAACAAAAGAAGTTGGTGCCTTACTTGACGTCGGAGGATATCCACTTCAGTGTACGCAAACAAACTCTCTGCTAATGTTATTTCACTTGCTAGTATGCAAATTGGTCACTGCCCTCTACTTGCTGCGTGCCGTCAAGTGAGGCTTCAAATGACATGCTCGTTGCAAACACGTTACGACAATAATATAGTCACGGCGCGATCTCGAATTCTTGCACCTGGCTCGGAGTAGTATTGTGTCGCTTCCGAAGGCTCCTTGCAAATGACGACCCCGTACAATGGTCCACGTACAGGCTTACTCTCCAATTGGTTCCTCCAACAGTTCATTCGCAAAAATCAACGTCCTACAGCTGCCAATAATTACAACGCTTGCCGAGAAATATCAGAAGACACCTTCACGGATAGCTCTTCGGTGGAATGTGCAACAAGGACATAGTGTGTTGCCCAAGAGTACTCACGCTGACAGGCTTGCAACCAACATTGAGCTTTTCGATTTCGAAATCTCTAAAGAAGACCTTCATGAATTTGACAACATTGAGCAGGTAAGCCACAATTCCACACCCACGTACTTTTGCAACTGCTGCTGAATCATGGTGTCCTTCTTTGAACACCTGATTTCCATTCGGGAAACAACTAGTTGAACCTTTTTTTCTGAATTGATACCATACACTTTGAAGCCCTCGAATGACACTTCACCGATTGACATGCAGCATCGTCTTCTCTCGGGCGAAGGGACGTTCGTGAATGATACAACCAGTCCGCACAAGACGGTGGAGCAGCTTTGGGATGGGGACCTCTAGACCCTTGCCGTCTAAATCCTAAAACAAATGTATACAGCAGTTTTGAGCTTGCTCCAGCCCAATAGGATGTGTAGCGCATAAATAATACGCTAGGGCGTAGAAACCAAAATAAGTCGGCAACATTTCGCTGCTGGCGCATGAAGCGCGTTCCCCAACTGTACCCTGTCACAAACTGATAAATAAATCACAAAATGCCTCACTCAATGCCGCTGCTTCCCCCCTGCGATGCCAAAGCTTGTGTAATGAGAGACTGCGTGAGCTCCTTCGACATACCCATCACACTATCTATCGTCCCTACCATGGCTTCAACCAGGGGCGACACCAACGGATGTTCCACCAACAATCCCCCAGCGGAATAGAACACGCTCCCTTCCTCGATCAGAGCTTCGATCACCTCGTTCGGGATCTCATTGAAGTAAACCTCCGCCTTGTCCACCCCACCCACCCGCACTCCGGTGGCCAAATTCGTCACAAGAATGGCTCCGACGGTAGTTGCCGGCGACCTGGTGTACCCTCGGATCACCCGTCGCGCCTCCTCCGCGCTCTTGGGCTTCTCCAGGATGACGCCCTCGTGCACCACCACCTGGTCCGCGGTAATCAGCAGCACCGGAGCATTTTTGTCCGCCTGCTTTCTTTCAGGATTCAACGCCAACTTCACCAGAATGGCCTCCGCTTTCGCATGCGCCAACATCTCCACGAGATCCTCTGCCAAGGGCGCTCGGATAGCTCCCTCATCGATGTCCGCCGTGACGACTTCGAAGTTCGCGTATCCCATTTCTCGCAGAATCGCGTGTCGCGACTGCGACTGAGACCCCAATATGATGCGCACCGCAGCGGGCGCTGGAGCCATGGCTAAATCACGGGTTCTAGAGCGCTGAACGAGGTTAAAGAGCACGGACGAGCTCCACGTTCAGCAGTGCAGAAGACAGAGCTCCACCCTTATCGAACAGCTCTGCAAACACTGGACACGTCACCTTCCAACAGGTATTGCAAATGGAAATTTCTGTATCTCGACAGATCCTGACTGGCTTCCGACGATGCTGCGGCGGAAAGTACACACGGTGATGCTCCCAGAACGATGCAGTCGAGATGGAGAGAACAATATTGCGAGGGAAACGAGCGTGCCTGGCCGGGGCGGTTCAGCCACCACAGGTGTACCCTAGCAGGGGTGTGCACCACCGCGCTGGCTCACAATCTTCATCGTCACATCAAACTACACGGAGCCCATTACTCCTCTCACGCACTTTCACCAGGCCCGCCGGCCATCGGTGCACTGCCCCTACCATAGGTGGCAATAAGCTCCACTCACTCGCCTCACAGTTGGCAGGGAAGGGAGCAGATAGGGTGGTGCGAAGTGGTATCGAAGGTTTATGGGCAAATCCCTGGACATCCTTCGGAGTCACATAGCCACCGGAATAGTTCATAATATCAGGTATCAAAGTCAATCAGAGGTCGAGTCAAGTCCTGGAATGGAGTAGAGAATGTGGAAGTTTAATCATTGGTTTTTGTTGTTGTTTGCTGCATGGGTTGGCCTCTATGTATTAAATCTCATACAATTTTTGTTGGCATGTCATGTAATTTGGATAGGTTTTGGTACTTGTTATTGGGCAATATTTTCAATACACTTTTTCCTTTTATTTTTCTTTTGATTTCACTTACAGTAATTACATTGTTATTTGCAATTTTGACATGTTTTTATATAGAATAATTTATAAGTTGAAAGTGTTTTTGTGTTGTCTAAAAAGGTAGTGAAGTATTTCTGGGCAGTTTTAAATAAGTTGCATATGTTTTTCTTAAATATAAAATAAAGCATATTGCTTGTAGTGAATATATTATTTTTTTAAAAAAAAACTATTAAATATAATATCACTTTTAAAAATTAACCTTAATTTTTATATCACAAGCCATGTATGAAATTGATATTTTTAATATTAAATTATAAATATAAGACATTATATATAGATTTCCAACAAGCTCTAATGTATTATAGAGAATACAAAATTAAATTATGATATATACTTATTTATGTTAATTTTGAAATGAATCTTAATTTTTTTTTACATATTTAGTTTTAAAGTAGAAGAAGAGTCATGATTTTTTTTTTTTATTTTTGATATTTATTGCATAATAGGTGATGTTTTCAATTGTGTCTTATTTTTCTAAGACTAAAAAGAAATTGATTTTCACCTAGTTGGAAAAAAATATATAATTAACATTAAAATACAGTTTTACATGTAGTCAATTCATAATCAATTTGATATGATAGATAGGAAAAAAAAAAGTACAAACTAACTAGTAACTAATAATAAACAAAACGTGTGATTTGGAGTAACTCCAATTAGTCACATCATCATTTAGAACCTTATTAGAATTTTCTTTGTGTTAAAAGTTAAGTGAAAAATTCTTTATGTTTCCATTTGTATTAATTAGATATATAGACTAATTGATTGGATTACAATTAATGGGATTTTTAAGTTCCAACTTTCTAACTAGAATTGTTAGTAATTTTAATTAAATGTTGCATTAATTCAAAGAATTTGCTATCAATAACATATTGATTAATTTGTATTATTATTATTATTATTATTATTATTCTATAGAGTAGATTAGCTAGTTGAAGTCTACTGTTGTTTTATTTGTCTTACACTATGAAAAGTCTGAAAGAAGGGAAAGAAAGAATCAACTAATAAGAACAATATGTTTTAATTTTTTGTTGAATTATTAAATATATTTTTAATAATAAATTGGAATATAAAGAAAATATATATTGTATTTATCTCTTGTACTAGATTAGAAAATAATCAATTGATATTTTATTTTATTTCATGTTAGTTTCTTTTCCAATTGGATATTCAGTTGGATGAGAATTAAAGAAAACTTGTACTCAATTGGAACCAAAGAAACACACATAGTTAAATTACGTAAAAATAAATCAAGATGATTTTTAGGAAGGGAAATAGAGAATGCTCTTTAAATTATTAAGATTCTTTATTCCAATAAATGGGAAGCATTAGATTTAAAGCAAGAGAATCTTTTAGTGGTGGAATAATTAAAGTCCTTTCTTTATCTTTTATGTATATGTGTGAGATTAATTATATCAACATAAATAAATAAAAAGTATAACAACACTTTAATATTGAATCTTCTAGATAATGTTTTTAGAAATTAATATATTTTTATTTATTGAATCTTAAAACTATTATTAAATAGCGAATTTGTTGAATTGGAAATAAATCCAACATTCATGTATTTAAACTTACTATTTATTGGCTTAAACTATCATAAAAAATGTATTATAAAAAAACGAATCTTGCAATATATACATACGTATATATATATATATATATATATACACACACTTGTATATATTATTTTATTAATTTAATAAAAATAGTATTAAAATATTATATTGCTTTGAAATAAATTTTGATAGATTAAAACATAATATTTGTGTGCTAACTTGTAACAAAATATTTATAAATAAAAACATTAAAATCTTGATTTTTTTAAATAGATTAATAATAATAATAATAATAATAATAATAATAATAATAATAATAATAATAATAATGTGAATAAAAACTATATAAAATAATTAAAAAATTATATTATCACCTAAAGTGGAATTAAAAGTATATTTATAAAACAAAAATTAATAAATAATCTTTACATATTTTATATTAAATTTATTAAATATTATATAATACAATAGAATTTGATTCATGTGATGAGGCTCATTTACATGAACTACTTCTACAAAGTTGATGGTGTTTACAATATATTTACAACACTAATTACAATGTCTCTCTTGCTTCAACTCTGATTTGACTAATACTTGCAAGGTTGCATTTAGACTCTTTTTCTCCATAGGCATGGTATTGCACCACCTATGCATAGAGCTTCAAGTCCAATTAACTGATAATATAGTTCCTCCAACCTACATATGAAGTTGCAAGTTTTATTAGAAATGTCACCAAGTATCTTTTATTCATTTTTCTTTCTCCATCCCTAAGCAATTCTAAGTTGCATGCAATAGCTTATACAATCAGAATTGTTAGGATTTGCACATCTTTAATATGATTCCAACAACAACAAAAAATAAATACATTGCTACCACTAAGAATTGTTGAGCTATTTTTTTTCAATGGCTTGGTGAAATTGAATTGAAGATACCATTGCAATACCAATCCAACATCATGCATGTCACTAAAAAAAATCTTGTGCTTTTTTAATATAGACAATTTGTCTTGAGAATTTATTTATTAAGAAACATGTAAATGATACCAAATCCTCAAGGAAAACCAAGAGAGTGTGTTCCAATGCAAGGGCAAGAAACTGTGGATAAGTCCAAGCAAAACAAAGCTCTATATGCTTGGCTCTACTCATGTTGAAGATGGAAAAAAAATTGATTGTTGGTCACCATCCAACATTGGTAAGTTTGTAGAGAAATGTTTCCATGGCAATGCACAAGGTTGAATCTAGTTAGAGTAAAATAGAATAGGCACTTAGATGATGATATGACCAGAAAAGTAACCCACTTAATTAAAACAATATAGAAGCCAATGGTCTTCTATATCTAAACTACATTATAAGAAATAAACAAATAAACACTTCTCTCTATTAGAAATAAAAAACATAAATTGGGCAGAACTTGTTTGAGTTTCAAGGATACAAGTAATCATTCCAAATATCAAGATTATTCTTGTACTAAACAATTCCAATCCTTCGATGTAAATGTCACATCAAAGTATTACGTTGCACTAACCTAGTACACAAAGCTTTCGTTCTTCTAAAACTGCTCAACCCCTAATAATCATACAACACAATATAACAAGCAGTCTCATTATTGTTATCACAATAGTATAAGATGAAACTAGACCCGCTCGACTGGAATACAATTAAATGACCAAGTTTCGTCGAATTTGTAAGTAATAACTTGCCAAGAACACAGACAAGTCTCATTTTAAAATTGGACAGAAGTGGTTCAATACATAATTAAGTTATTTGGGTTTACAATACAAGGTAACAATGTGAAACAATTTGAATAAAGTCATACGAAACTGAAATTCCACCACTAAAGCAGCAAAGACTAGTAGAAAGAGCCAATATATACAAGATCCATTATGTAGAATACAACTGAAATATAAGCAGGGGGAGAACCATTGAATCGAAATGCCAAAGATAAAAGTCTAATAAAACATTCTGACTGAATTCGTAAATATGAACAGCATCTGACAAAACCTGTGAAGAGCAACAAGTTCATATGTTGAACAGGATGGCAAAACCCAAAATTAAATACATAAGTTGACGTTGCCAATTCTAAATCTCTTAAGATATATGACGAAGTTCTCAAAATAGATACAAATTATGAATTCTCATGAAAGGGTGATACAAGACAAGCATGCAAGCCCAGAGAATATACAGCTGATGGAATAAATAAAAAATGCAAACATCGCACGGTAGGCTGACAATTCAAGCTCAAATTCCAAAACATACGAAAACGAACTCAAGGACAATCGACATCGACAAACCAAGAGCCGGGATAAAGTCTAAGTAATTAGATAATCTCCAGTGCTCCCATAACCTCCAACACGATTATGCAACAAAAACTCAAAAAATGTAACCAGAACATCACAATTAACAAAGTGCAGCAGAAAGGTACACCAAGGTGGCCATTGCATACTTCAGCAAATCCACCAAAGATAATCGAAAGTAGACTAATCAGTAACCCAGCCAGTTCCCATAAACAAACACCCACCCCATAGCAACCAACCAAAAAAGCTACCCAACCACAAACCGCTGACATAATTACATTGACAAGACTCTGAAAATGGTACACAAACAAACAAATAAATAAAACACCATCATAAATATCGCCAGACATAAACTCAACCAACCCACAACTTCAAACAACGACCTCAAATAAACCAAAATCAGAGCCACAAATAGAGCCCATACAAAATTCAAAAAAGTGTATACAGATAAACAACGACCCCATCCAAGCCCTGCAAAAATTAAAACCAGAGCTAAGCCGTATGACAAGCTAGCCTCCGAACCAGCCTCCTCAGTCCACCAACCGGGGCTGCTCATGGTACGTGAATAACTGCGCCGCCGAAGGCTCGAAGCTCTGCTCCGGTGCTGCCTGCTCCCCCCCAAACTCTTCGCTCCCTCCCCCACCGCCCACGAACCCCGCCTCTGCTGCCGAGTGCAGCACCTCGTTCATCGACCGGTACGCCTTCTCCTTCGGTGGACATGCCGACCCTGACATGCTCTTCACCCCGTCCTTCGCCTGCAGCCGCTCCCGCAGTAACCCCTGCGCCAGCGACGGGAACCCTTCGTTCGCCAAAAACCGCGCATCCGTCGGAGAAAACCCGTGGTCGCTCGACACCAGAATTGGGTTCATCGACACCAGAAACGCGCCCGATGTTGACTCTCGCCCACCCCCCTGCTGCTGCTGCTGCGTCGACACCGTCCCTACCTCCTTCGCTCCCTTCCCGTCCATTCTCGCCATCTCCGCTCCTCCTGAAACTCGTACCCCTTTCTCGTTTGTCCCCGTGCTCGCATTCGTCCGCCTCGCCCCGCCCCTCCCTGTACTCGCTCCGCTCTTCTTCGTCCCAACCACCCTCGCCTTTCCCGATCCCCCCTCCGCCTGCCCTCCACCCCCCTTCCCACCAACGCCTCCGTTCGCCTTGCCTGCCCCGCTGACGCTGCTCTCTCCTTGGGACCACGCCTCTCCGTTCGCGCGCTTCTCCTGCTGCCCGCTCTTCACCTTCCCTCCCCCACACGGACTCGCTCCGCACCCCCTCGACAACCTTTCCACTTTCTTCCAACTACCCTGGTGAGCGCGACCCCCAGAAGCCCCCCTCACCCCCCAATGCCTCCCCCAGGACCCCCTTGGAAACCGCGGACCCCCTTGCCGCCACAAAATTCGGCGTAAAGCCTGGCCCCCCGCTCTTTCCCACAAATCCCCCGGGTTTTCCTTTCCGAACCAACCGCGCCGCCTGATGCGCCGTCGGAAGCTTGTGCGCGAACATCACCACGTCCTTCCCTTCTCCCATCGCCGTGTACTCCAGCCGGCTTTGTTGCTCGTCCGACGAGCTCGTGTCCCCGCCTGTTCCGTTCGACGGACACGCTCCCTCTCCCTCCTCCCCCTCCTCCTCTTCTTCCTCCTCTTCCGATGCCGACACCGACATCGCCGGCGACCCTCCCTGCCCCTCCACCCGTCTCTGCTCTCCCTCCACTTTCTTCAGCAGCCGCTCGATGCGGCTCAGCTCGAACGCTTCCCTCTCCTTCTCCTCCTCCAGCTCCGCAATTCTGCTCTCCCGAGCTTCCTTCATCGACTCCAGCTTCGACCGCTTCGCCTGCAGCGCAGCTACAACAGCACGTTTCTTCGCCGCTGCCGCGTCCCGCACGTTCGCCCCTGCAACTGACACCAAACCTTCAACAACAAACACCACACCCGAACCAAGTCAACACACACCATCCCGCCTCCTCCAACCTCCACACCATCACCACGCCCATCCCACAACTTGCCCCTCCGCACACACACACTCATCCCACCAAAAAGGTACCCCGGATCTTACCACCCCCGCCGTTGCCCACCACCTTCGCCAGCTTCTTCGTTCCCTTCCCGGACTTGTTGTGCTCCTTCACTATGTGCGCTCGCAGCTTGTACTCCTGGCAGTACCTCTTGTCGCACCCATCGTATGGACACTCGTGGTAGTCGCCCGTGTGCGTCTTCATGTGCGACCGCAAATTGAAATCCAACGAAAACGCCTGCGCTCCACACCACCATCGCGCCAGTCAGTATCATCATACCCCCTTCCGTCCACACCCACACCCACACCCACACCCACACCCACACCACCTCCAACACCGCACACTCTACCCACCCCGCTTCATGCCGGACCTGCTTCCACCACCCAACATCCACGCATCTCCGGACCACAAACACTCGCACTCTACACATCCCCCCGCCCCCCTCCTACACCCCAAACTCCACCAAAACCAACCACCAACAAACGGAACGAAATCATCACCTTGCCACACCCTTCGTAAACACACAGAAATGGTTTCTCGCCTGTATGAATCAGGAAGTGACGCTTCAACTTCGACCTCTCCGAAAAGCTCTGCCACCACAAAAAAACAGAAAACACCCCGGTAAGCCCACACCGTTCGCCTTCCCATAAACCCCCCACAACCACACGCTCACCCCATCACTCCGCATCCACAGCCTCCGCCGCACCACCACCAAAATCACAACCTGCCCCACCCAACCTCGCATCATCGCAATGCACTTCATACTCAAAAACTCCACAGTCCAAAGTCACCACCTTGATGCAACCGTCGTAATGACACACGTATGGCCGATCCCCGTGCACCCGCGCATGAGCATACAATGAAGCAGCTTCGACGAATCGCTTCTTGCATCCTTCCGCGTTGCACGCAAATATCGGGCCTGCTAACCACTCGCCATGTCATCACGTCAACACTTCCAGCTACGTCACACAAACACCCACACCCCATAAACCAAACATTTCTCACATCCACAACCCTCCTCCTCACCATACCACACGCTGCACCTAACTATCTCCCACCCCTACCATCCCCACACCACCGTCCCCACGCTGCGGGGAACGTCTTCCTACCCCACATTCCACCACCCCCATGGCCTCCATGCATCCCTCCCCTCGACATCCTAATCCATCCCACCACCGACCGACACTGCGCATCCATCGTCATCATCCAGTAACCCTCTTCCATCAGCCATTTTTCCCCACCCATCCACACGCCGCCAACCACAATGCACACTGTCTCCCACGTTTCCAGTACCGTTTCTCCCGTGACAAGCCCACTTCATGCTCTCCGAATCCAGAACCGCCTCGATCGTCTTCCTCTTCCCGCTGCTCGGAACTGCCGATACCTCCGCCTCGTCTGCCTTCGCCACACCCTCCACTCGATTCCCCCTTCTCGGCCTCCCTCGCTTCCTCGCTGGATTCGCCTCCACAGCTTCCTCCACGCTCATATCCTCACCTGCATCCCCACCGCCACACCATCACGTCAGTCCACCACACACCCCCCCCCCTTCCACTCCAAACCGCGCCAGCTCACACCCCGTCACGACCACCACCGACTCACCCTCCGCAAACCCCTACGCCCAACCCCCCCCCCCCCAATTTCCAGCTCCGTCTCGAACCTTTAATCGGCTGTGCAAAGTCCCCGCATATATTCGTGATGCTCCGCACACGAACCCGTTTCGGCAAACTGTCGTCCTCCGATTCGTCACCTGCGCCATCCCGACACCACACACCGTCACCTCCCGCATCTCACACCCATTGCATTCCATGCTCAACGCTTCCTGCAATTCACCCCATTCCATCTCAACAATGCACGCAAGCCAGCTGTCCACAAACCGCCCACCAGTCCACGAACGGGCCCTATACCAGGATATCGTCGCTTCACCCCACGATTTATCCGCACAGACCTCGGCTCTTCTAGCTTAGGGGTGATAGGACCTGCCCGTATGCTCGTCTGCCTTTCACTCGATTTCAACGGCCGCCCCCTCTTCCGACGCAACGTTGGCCCTCCCTGCACTCCTCCGCCCTCGGGATCGCACTCGCTCTGCGTCACACTCTTCTCCGCTGCGTCCACCCTATCCCTCGTGCCCTCTGCGCTGTCCGTGTTCTCCCTCTCCACCGCCAATCCTTCCACTCCACCCGAGTAGCTCTCGCTGTTCGCCGCCTTCCCCTCATCTCTCTCATCCAGATTTGCGAACCCATTCTCCGCAACGCTCGCGCCACCGTGCCGCTGTTCCCCCTCTTCCCCCTCCTCCTCGTCGTCTCCATCCTCCTCCTCTTCCTCCCCCGAACTCCCCCCACCCTGCTCTTCGTCGCAGCTCTCCCCGGACGCCTCTCTCCTCTCACTCTCGTTCCCGCTGTGCCCCGCACTGTCTCTTACCTCCACGCCCACGCTCTCACCCAATCCATGCCGGCCCCCTCCCCCGTGCCCGCCTGGCGCTGCCGAATCCGCGCCGTTCTCCCTCCCCACGCCTTCCTCCTCGCCGCTGCAGTTCTCGCCGTCTTCTTCCTCCACGTAGTTGCTGGCTATCTGTTTCAAACAGTTCTCCCCCTGCACTGCCAAGTCCGCCCCACCGGACGCTTCATCCAACCGGTCCATCTCGCCGCACTTCCTCTCCGTCGCATCAATCACAACGTCCGCCACATCATCCCTTCCCGCAACCGGGGCCACTACCAACCGCACACCACCCACCTCCGCGAATCCGTCTACTATCCGCCTCGCTCGTACCCCTCATCACACAATCGTGTGTGCCACTCCTCCCACTTCGTACCGCTTGCTCTGAGCTCCCTCACCGGCGCGGCTTCCTCCGCCCACCCGCTCTGCACCCGTCCAGGCTTCCGCTCAATGTGCTCCGTGTGTACTCCGCTCGCTTTCCGTCCACGTTCCGCGCCAACCAGCGCAAACTTCCCAACTTATCCTCTTCGCCTCAATGTGCCCATTGCCTCTCATGCGCGTCCCTCTACTACGTGCACATCTCGCTCACAACTGCGGACGAGCTGCATCGACCACTCTCCCTCATAATCCACCGGGCTCGCGTCCCACGGGTACCGCGCTCCTCCACGCATCCCAGCTGGGCACAAAACGCCCGGACGATGCTGCCTGCACCAACCACCACATACCACCATCGTCAACATCAAGCGACCACCCTCTGCACCACCATTCCCCCTAATTTCCACCTCTGCACACCCCACCCCTGCGCCAAGAATACTCCTCAAAGCTTCTGCTTGCACACAAAACCACGCGCCAGACATCTACGCATCCCAACACCCCAACCAGGCCCTCAAAATGCCTCCCAGTCCGCGCACCCCATCATGCTAAGCGATGACCGCAACACAGAAACTAAACAGCAAATCGCCTCTTT